ATCTGCATCTCAGCCGGTCTCAGACACTGCAGCTCAACACTGACAGAGACATGGCTGCGTGGGTGAGAGGTCAGCATGTGGCAAAAAATAAATCACATAAAGAATAGAATAATTCAATTAGCAGCCTTACAAGCCAGAACACGAAGCCGTATGCTGCTGAACTTCCACCAGGAATGACTCTCCAGCACATTCTTTGAAATGTGATGGAGCCAAATCTCTAGACACAAACCTTATGGTCCATATGACCAGGACCTGAGGATCCAATCAAAAGGCCCTCTCTCCAAAGTCCTGGTGAAACCATTACTGTAGCTTAACTGTGGCTCCCTATGTCTCAAATAAACGAAAATTATACTCTTATCAGCCATTTTCGCAGTGGGCCAATGGGATTGAGGGATATTGGCAAAATTCATCATGAGGGACCCACCCCCACTGGCAGAATTTATCATGGGTATTTATTTATGTGTGGTGTCTGCAAAAGCCAGGGCCAATTCTTCATCCCTGTCCAGCTCTGCTCATATACATATGTAAGGAATTAAACACAGTGTTTCTCTGGGTAAAGCAATCTTAAGGGGAACACATTTCTGATCCGATGTACTTTTATGTGCTACATGGGTAACTGTCCATCCCACTAATCTCTATCCACCCTCACACACAATCACATACTAGCCACCAATAGTGACGATATATTTTCAAATCTCATGGGATGCAATGTGTAGACCCAATGACATTATCTAACAATCAATGGCACCCCCCTCCCCAAAATCATGACAGTGTCAGGCTGAGACCACCCCAGCTCCACATCTGGAGCGGCATCCATCAGGGTTTCCCATAATGGTTCCAGCCGATCCTTGTCTTTTAAGCACCTGCTTTTTTTTTTTTTTTTTTTTAAACCAGCCTAAGCGAAACCAAACAGGAGCTTAACCATGACGGGTCATTAGTGCTGATGAAGGAGACAGGGCCTCTTACTCACATCCAATAACTAGACAACAGTAATTACTTCTAACTGTACAGTTAAATTGCTCCAGTTAAGCCAGTCATAATTACACCTCTGAATGAGATCCAGAAGCTCTCTTTGCTTGTAGGATGGCCGACCGTAACTGAACGTCCCTAAGACAGCTGCAGTGAATCACACAAGCAAGCCGACTGTGGCTACTTCACGGGACCAGCAGACCCTGTCCTCCCATTGGCTCACGAAGAAGCTTCAGTTCTGCGAGGCAGGGTGGAGGTCTCAGCCCACATATCACATGTGAAGCTACCACTTTCACAACCAGATTGTTTAAAACCTTCATTAAACTAAGAATATATTATTGTATGAAATTTCATATCAACTTTAATATATCAGCTTACAATCTTTCTAATAAGTGGGGAAAAAAAACACAAACAATGTGACACTGCTTCCTGCGGTAGGATAAGGTATTTGAGGCCGTCCTCAGGGCATTAAAGTGGCAGGACTACCTGTCTCTCTCTCACACTCACATAAACATTATATTTGCTTACTTACGTCAGGAGAAACAGATGAGTTCAAACTGTCCTCTGTGGTTTCCCCCACAGCTCCTCTATTACCAAGAGTGCTTGGGGGTGTCACCGCAGAGAAGAAAAAAAAGTCCAACGAAAGACTTGGGAGGTTCATGGAAGAATTGGGCAACACGAGGTTACTCAAACGGCAGGAATTGCAAGCGGCTGCGAAGCCGGTTGTTGGGCACCATCGAGCTGTAATCACTTAAAAACTGCTGTAGAGCAGACAGCTGTATACACACCCACAAGGTTTTTACAGAAACCAGTTGTTTTTGTAATAAAAATGAAAGCTTTGAGTTAAACAACCCTGCCCCATACAACAGTTACAGTTAAAATGCTGACAGAAACAACCACAAAACTGCACTGACATGGATTACTGGACAATTGATGCTTGTTTTGAATGTAAATCAGAAGATACAAAATTATTTTATTTTTTTGACACAATAGCAAAACTTCGTCAAGTCCAAGTGCATTGATATGACTGTTAGTTAACTGATGCTCCTAGATGACCTTCAGCTTTGGCTGAGCCTTAGCTTAATATCAAATTAATATGTGAATGTGCTGCAATGTATTAGGTATTCAACAAGACAGTAGGGAGGTATCGTATCTGATAGATAGGAATATGTATATTGTATATTCTACTATCTAAGTTAAAACACTAAATCTCCAACGATAGGCACTGAATCATTTTTCATTTTCTTATTTTGTGTGCTGTACTACAAATGAGACATTTCAGCCAGGACAAATACATTTAAAGTTCTTCAGAAGAAAAATCTACTAAAAAATGTACAATTAATTCCAACAAATGGACTTAAGAATTATACTATACATATTTTATAATAATGCTTAGTTATAAACACATAAACGACAATCATTATAGCTACATTTCCCCCCAGATTACCTTCAAAATGCAGCCATATGTTCTCCTTTAAGCATGGGGACCGTGCACCACAGGTACATGGTGAAAGACAAAAAACAGCTTCCTGTTCACTGCACTAGACAGCAAGTAACACTGGCAGACCACAGCGCAGTTAGGGAGTCTCACTGGAACCTTCACACTCACAGCCCTTCTGCCGTTTTATCAAGGTAATCAAGCATTTCAGTATCAAATATCAACATATCCATGACTATACAGAGAATTACACAGTCATCTGTGCTTATCACGTTTATATTGATGCATAACAATTCAACAAAATACAAATCACAGCATGCAACACACACACAGCAAAAACACCAATAATGATGAAGAATCTTTTGCCATATAATAAAACTAGGACAGAGACATAGCAAAAAGTCAAAGATCAAAACATTAACTCAAGATAACCTTAGGAAAATCTGCATATATACACTATATGAAAATATATGTCAAGCTTGCTGTAAAGGACAGGCCACATCTTATATCAATCCCTACGAGTTCCATTTCTTCTGCCGCATATCAGATGATAGTACAAGTGATTTACCTGCTTGAAATCGGCACATCTACCAGAGTTTAAGTGAGTATAAAGCCCCCCGTGACCGTACGCCGACCACAGCTAAATGGCCGGCTGCCAGGTGTAGGGGCTGGGCCGGGGGCTACACCGTATACCCAGAGCAAAGCCTCATGAAAATCGACTCCTGATTTGCGATGTAAAAACGACCCACGCATGTCCGCAGCCTGGGAGCGACCACCCGCCTGAAAACGCCCCCCCTCCCCCTGCAAAAACAAAACACCCCCAAGGATCTTACGCTACTATGCAACCATAGCAAAAACATAGGACTGATTTGATTATTTCCTATTGCACTTTATAGGTACACAGACATTAACACCGGCTACAAGCAATTTGCACAGCGGCAGCATTACAGCAGCAGCTCATTAACAAGCTTGTTTGGTGTTTAAATTTACCAGGCACGGTGTTTATCCGAAACCAGCAGCCAAATTAGAAAACAAAGCACTTGCACCCCACGAGATTAGAAATGAAATACACAGGAGAGTAATTATTGGCAACTTCTTAAATATTACTAAATCTCAGCAAAATCTCTGGCCATACAACACTTATATAAAAATTAGGGCGTAAGATTTAAAACATTACAGGGCACAATAAACGGCATATCAGTGCACATTAAAGCGGGGTCTTAGAGATGCACTTTTGAAACGCCGGCTTGCTTTATCCCCATAACCCCACCTCGGCTGATAAGATGCTGCCAGACATGATATTAAAACACATTATGTTACGTCCCGGTCTTCCAGTGTTTCGTGATTCTTTCTCCCTCTTTTGGAGAAGCGACATGGGGAGTCTGTCGAAGGGGCCTAGGACGACCGGGAGGGCAAGGGAGGACCCGACGGTCCGACATACCGGGAGCCTGAAGCACGAGGCCCCGAGACAACTCGGGGTGGGTGGGGGGAGGGCAGCGGGGCTCCTGAGCCGGGGTTCGAAAAACACCAACACACGGTGCGGAGTGGCACAACGTTTAGGCTGCGGACGGCAACGGCAGAACGGGAACCAGGTATCCGAAAGGTGGACACTAAGTCAGCTAAACAGTAGCCCAGAATCGGACGGGTGGACGCTAAACGAGCCTGCACGACAGCGATAAAAACCGACGAGCCGGCTCGGCGTCCGCGGTCACCCGCCACCGCAGAAGCGCTAATCCCCGCTAGCCGGGCGGCTAACGCGCAAGAGGTCCCCGCGAGGCGGCGAGATGAGAGGCGACAAGCCGACCTGCTGGGGGTAACGCTCCCGCGGGGGGCTCCTTGAGTACGCAGCAACCGGTATCAGAGGTCCGACAGGGCGAGCCGAGATCTGGGCGATGGGGTGAGTCTGGCGCTCCGCTACGCACACGGTTTCAATGAGAGGAGAGGAGGAGGATGAGGAGAAGGTAGCCGGGAGAAGAGCAAGAGGAGGGGCCAAGAGGGGAGGAGGTGGAGCCCAGCCCAGCCCAGTACCCATTTCCAATAAGGAAAGAGGGGGTAGGAGGAGGGGCCGGGAGATTTGGAGGAGGGACCGGCAGCGGAGAAGGAAGAGCTTGGCGGAGAGTGGCCGGGAGGGGAGTAGATGGAACCCCGCAACCACATTCAATGAGGGAAGATGAGGAGGAGGAAGAGGTGGCCAGGAGAAAAAGAATTGTCAGGGGGGCGGAGGGCTGGGCTGGAGATGGAGTCTGTCTCCACCTCGCATAGACAATTAGTTTAGACCCATTGTCGGCCAGTTCACATGGCATTCTTGACCTCAAATTTCAATAAAAAAAAATGATTGTTGTTATTTCTTTAAGGGTGGCACAGTGAGTACCAGTCACACCTACAGGGTTGTGGGATTGAATCCTACTCCTTCCTTGTGCGTTTCAGTTAACATGCTTTCCCTGTGGTTACTTTCCCTGGGTACTCCAGTTTCCTCCCACAGGTCAAACATATGAAGTTAAGTGTAATGTCTTTTAACTGGCTGCACACTGTGTGCATGCATGTGCCCTGCAAAGGACTGTCAGTCCCTGAGAAGAATTAGCATCTTATCCTCTGATAGGCAGTTTGAAGATGAATAGATGATAGCAGCATAAGGTTGTTAAAATGGAGATCTGTTTATTGTAGTGATTTTTCATTCTTTTTGACCTTCACATCCGCCAACTTCATATCAGCCGACCTTTATAACCACCTCAATCGTCTCTTCTCCATCCAAAGAGCAGCTGCTCTATTTGAACGCCCCTCCACATCTCTGAGCTCCTCACCCTGTCATGGAGAGTGAGCCCAGCATCCCTGCAGAGAAACCGCATTCTGGCCAGCCATGCTCACCATCTTGTGCTTTCGGTCATTATTCACAGCTTAGCACCATAGGCGAAGATAGGGACGTGAATTGTCCAATAAACAACAAGTCGCGTCTGACAACTTCACCTGTGCTACAGCGCCCAAACATCAGAGCCTGTAAAATCATTGTGACTGTATGAGGCACACATAGTACAGTGTTTTATAATAAAGTAAAATATTTAAAAAGGTTTTAGAATGTACCTCAGGCAAGACAACATATACAGACTGTCTAAACTATGACACCAAAATGAGTATTCATTCCTATTTGCAAAAAGAGAGAGAGAGAGAGGTAGAGTAAAGAGAGTAAAACTTTAAATAATTCGTATTACAGTCCTTGTTATTTATCTCAGGGTTAGCATGCTGCCTCGGGATTGTGGGTAAGATACCTGCTCAGATTTTGTACATTGATTTTGCCTGTTTTCCACACAACTGCATGATTTTCCTGTAGCAGCTCCACTTGCCTCCTGCAGTCGAAGGATCCGAATGTGTCTTGGAGTCTCATGATTGTCTTCAGTGTCTGCTCATATATGCGAGGCTGCGCCCCATAATGCACTGGGATCTTCCATGAAGCTGTATTGGTGAAGCAGTTATTCCAAATTATGGAACAGTTTACATTTCAGCTTTATAAAAGTCAAATATTTATCATAATTTTAGGAAGGGGTTGAAGGGCTTTGAATGCTCGAGCATTTACTTAAAAAATTGTATACTTAGTAACAATAGTGATATTATAGTGATAGTGATCATTTCTGATTATGATTGATGAACTGATAATCGATGCATCAAAAAGCACATGATGATTCCAATCTCAACAAACACCAGCAACCACTTCCTAGTACTGTAGCACCCCCTAGTGTTTAATCAGTGGAACTTTCATTCCAAAATCACCGAGGATTTGATTTAGGGTAGGGCTATTCAAATCACGATCCTCAAGTGCTGAACACTGCTAATTTTGCAGGCATCCTTTACCTGTGAGCCAGGTGTGAAGCCTCTGGCCAATCAGAATCAGTAATTGTTAAACTAAATAAATACATATATGGATAAATACATATTAAATATAATGAGGTGGGCCGAAAATGTCGATTTGCATTTACAAGATCAAGGAGCTACTTGTCCAGTTTATTTCATTTCTTGAGCCACGGTAAATGCAAGTACAGATTGTTCTACTGGCATGCTATCACATAAATACCTCTACCCATATAATTGTCACGTACAAATACATTATGAGTGCAATAGAGAATGACAGTCATGTTAAATATCCTGACTGCCTCTCAAATCCAGCCCTCTTTTGGCTACTTGACAGAGTATTTTCATTTCTGGATTCAGTACCCCACTGCAGAGGTACAAGTATTACATAATTTTCCAGTAGCCGTAATTCTTTGTAGCTTTCTCCCTGATGCCATACACACATTAAACTGCCTTTTTTGTTGTACTTCTGACTATATATTTTATATATATATATATATATATATAACACCTCCAAAATCTCAGTATTTAACTGTTTTATCCCTATGCATACAATTGCGTGACAAATAGACTCTTTGGCTATTGAAGAAACTAAGAATAAGTCACATTCAATGGCAAATCCAGGCTCTTAGTTAGATATGAATGGATAGGGGGGCTGAGTCTTTACTAGAGGGGGCTGATGGCAAACTATTCATGACTTAAGTCAATAAATATGCATTTGTTTGTAATAGGCCTATTAAAATAGGCCCCAGAGAAAATCTGTCAAATCTGTCAACATTATCCCCCCACTACCCAAAAAGTGAATAAAACAAAAAAAATCGAATCAATCAACCGGTTACATTTGGTAATCTGCTTAACTTTTTTTTTTGTGTCAGTCCCTAGCAGGTCCTTCGAGCAGTTTGCCGGGGCACTGATTGTACAAAGCAGCTTCCGTAAGTGTGCCCCGATCACGGGTTCGTCCAGGATGTCTACTTCCGGTGTCACAACCTTGTTTACCTGCCATGATTCATTTCAGTTTCCTCTTATTATGAGAAAAAAATGGATAACGCGCAAAAATGTAAATGATTGCAGCTATGTGACACCCCCGTCTCCAGTCAGAAGTGAAGATAAGCATGCGCCGGCGCTGGTGTGACTGCTGTAGCTGCTTCGTTTGGAAGTTTGTTAGCTAGCTCTTCGGGCATCCTGAGTCCGTGTTGTAATTTTCGGACAGTCGATAGCTTCACGTTTGCTCCTCACTGCACTTCAGTCGACAGCCGAAAATGGTGGGTATCCCGCTCTCCACGCTTTTTAAAGGATTGCAGTATTAGCCACCGAGATATTTGACACGGTCTCCGCCATTGCAGCTGAGCAGTATGGGCGAACCGGGGACGTTCACTTTAGACGCGGCGGTTTATATATATATATATATATA